CAGGTTTCTTAATTGAACTTGTGGATGTGAATATCAAGTTGCTAGTGGGCCATACGGGGTAAGCTCGTCTGGCGATGCGGGATGAACCGAACGCAAAGTTAAAGTGCCAAAATGCTCGCTCACCTAGATACCATAAAAGGTGTTGGTTCATTTAGACAGCAGGACGGTGGCCATGGAAGTCGGAATCCGCTAAGGAGTGTGTAACAACTCACCTGCCGAATGAACTAGCCCTGAAAATGGATGGCGCTAAAGCGGGCTACTTATACTTTGCCGTTAGCGCGATAGCATTTATAATGTACGCGTTAATGAGTAGGAGGGCGTGAAGGTCGTGAAGTCGAGTTAGCCCTTTGCATAGGCTATTATAATCCACACTCTCTTACTTGAATATGTCTATAACATTCCCTCGTTGGTTGCGAAATCTAGTCACCTGGATTAGATCATCGGCGCGTTCTTTAATCCAAAGGGCATGCGCAACCACTCGAAGTGTCCGAGTGCGCAGACGAACGCCGATACTTTACGTGCTCGCAAGGTCATCATGACCGCCCAGAAGCCGCTTGCTGCATCCAGCGAGCAGAACCATAGGTAGCGCTCGAGATCTGGTAAGAGGTCGTCGACTAGCGGCATTGCATACTCCATGATCGCGGTGATAGCATTCACCATCTTGTAATCAATGCAGAGCCGGATGTCCAGCCCGTTCTTTTTCATCACAATCACGATCGGCGAAGCCCATGGACTGTCTGAAAAGACGATCAGTCCTGCACGCAATAAAGCGCGCAGCAGCTCGTACAGCTTGCCGAGAAATCGCAGCGGCACGCGCCGGGCACGCCGTTTAATTGGGGCGTGCCCCTGTGTGTCGATATCGCATACCGCTCCGTAGGCTGGCGGCGGCAGCGCGTTACCACTAGCAATCAGGATCTGCTCGTGGTTCTTCAGCGTCGCGACCAGACGTTCTCGGCGATCAGTCGACAACTCAGGATCAGCAACATTAGGCGCAGTGTAGTCGATTGTCGTGTTGATCTCTTCGGTTAGGTCCGGCAGGAATGCCAGCTCCTTCGCGTAGCCTTCCAAGCCAATGTTGTTAACTGGGTGTTCGTAGAAATCAATGCTCGTACTCTCCGTTGCTTCATTTCCTTCGGTCGTTAACACTCCAGCAACCGAGATGTACGGTTCATCCAACGTCGCTACGGATTCTTCCCTTGACTCAACATTTGCATCCGCTTTGATTTCAACAGTCAGTACTGGGTCCATCTCTTTCCCATCCTTGTTTCCCATCTCTGGGCCGTCTGCCGAGTCGTCGCTCGCGATATTGAATGCGCTGGTCACCGACACTTTGGGTTGTTGACTTTTGCTCAGCTCCTCGGTCGGCCGCTGTCTTGACAGTTTGGCATTCGCACCAATCTTGCAATGAGCACTCGGTGCCGTACTCAACACCTTCAGCGCGATGCCTGTATCCTCTGGATCAACCACCGATGTCTCGGTTGCAGATTTGGTGACACACAAGGCCGGGACAGCTTCGTTAAAACGGGTGACTCCATTTAATCCAGTGCTGTTGCTTGTCGCTTCCGTGGTCACCCCTGACTGGACACTAACACTCGTTGGCGTATGTACCACGTTTACCGGCCTCAGTAGTTCGTGTGTACGCACTACCGAGGCTTCGTTCGCGTTATTGCCTCCGCTATGGGTTGTCGTGTACGTGTCCAAAGGTTCTGCGGAAGGCTGACCGTCGGCCGAATCCCCGGCTGTCACCCCAGACGCCAGACAGGCTTCCACTTGTTCACGTTCTTCCAGGATCAGTGCCCAGCGCTCTGCACATGTCAGACGATCACTAGAATCCACTAGCGAGTCTTCTAGAGGTCGTGGTAGCACTCCACTGGGTTCTGGGTAGTCTGGTCGATCAACTGCCGAAGGCTGAGTGGCAAGCCATTGTTCGTAGCTTTCGCATTCACGCTGAAAGAGCTCGCGGTCTCTACAACCTTCGTAGGCTAACACTTGCCAGTCTTGGTACTTCTTGGACTCCAGACGCACATAGCCGTCACCTCGTGGCAAATCCCCATCTGGAATCCACATCGCGATCGAGTCGTGTGCTGGTAGGTACACAGTTCGATCAGACACGTTGGTCAATCGAATGCTCTGAGGCCGTCCACGTCGAAACCTCGTGACTGACGGGATTAACTTGTTCGTTCGACGAGCCCACAGTACGTGTTCTTCCAGCCCGACTTGACGCTTCGCTAGTCGATATTCTCGCCACTCGTGCGCTTGAATGTCCAAACGTTCGGGTGGCCCGGCGTTAACATGGGAGCCGTATTCTTCGCTGTCAATCATGTTCTTGGTCTTGATCAGTGGGATTTAAACTTCGTGCGGTATTTGCGCCGCGCCGTGAAACAGGTCCAACCGGATCCCAGCTGGGATCATAAAGTCGGTCCCGAGTATCACGTCGACGCCTGGACTATGCGCCATTACCCACATCTCGAACTCGTACACCATCTCCCATCCGAGCGTAGTCTTGACGCACGCTCGTCGCGTCGTAGACACCTTGCCTTCGTTAATTCCTTGAATGTCGATGCGGCGTCCGTGATCGGGTACATCTCGAAGTCGCAATTTCTTGGCAAAGGCGTCCGTGAGCACTCTAACGTTCGCTCCTGTGTCGAGGAGGATCCTCGATCGATGGTCGTTTACTGTGCCTTGCACTAGAGCTCTCATTCTGATCCGTCGGTCGAATTTCTTGGCCGACCACCACCCCTGTCTCTCGCCAGGGCTCAACTTCATCATCTTGGAGTGACCCTTGGGCTCGTCTCGCGCTGTACTCGAAACCAAGCCGAACGAACCCTCGCTGGTGCCCTCATCAGCATCAGCACACTCCACTCTCTCTCCAACACCTCCACCGAGGATTCTTCTCCTCTCCTTTTCATTTTCCGTCGTGTTCACACTTGTTACGTAATTGTCAGGCCATTCACTCTGCCCCGTGAAAGCAAAGATGCACTCTGCTTCCATTGAAGGCTCGGTTAACTGTGGCAGCCCGATAGGGACCAACCCAGTTGTAGTTGGCGGGCTGCCTAGTTTAAATGACGTTCTTGAACGACGGCCTTGAGCTCTGGCGGGAGTTCCTCCTTCGTGCCTTTAGTACGCACGAATTTGGCAAGGTCTTGGAAGTTGCGAAAAAGTTCGCATTGTCCAGCATCGTGGAGTTGTTTGCAGAACTTGCACCGCTTGTTACAGTAGTGGGCGGAGTGACTCATGCCACCGCACACCGCGAATGGTCCGTACTGTGGTCGTCGGTTGTCGCGGTTGAAGTCACGTCGACTGCGTTGGTCCTGATTGAACCCACGGTCACTACTTCGGCGATCTTGATTGAAGCCATTCTCGCGATCAGGCGTGTTTCCACGCGGTTGACGGTTGTCCGAACGTGCGTAGGTGCCTTCAGCAGCTGCACGGCGCTCATTTTTGCTAGCAGCGGCGAGGTATCGGTCGTTTTCATCCAATGAGAAATCACCATCCGTATTATCGGGCTGAAAGTCGTTGTACTCATCTTGGACATCGTCGTAAGCGCTCGGATCTTCCTTTGAATACTCGTTGCCCCCTTGAGCAGCTTCACGACCTTCTAATTCAGCTAGTAGGTCGTCCACCGTGGCTTCAATGAGTGTCACTCTTGGTTTGTTGCGGTTGTCATCGCGGCGACGGTCATCACGCCGATTGTTGCGGGCGTACCCATCGTCGCGTCGCGCGTCACGGCTCTTGGAGTATCGGTACTCACTGTCACTGGCCATTCTCTCCTTGCCCTTGACAACATCTTCGATGATCTCTTCGAGCTCGTGAATGTCGGCGACTCGAGCGTGGTAGAGACTCTCCGCTAGCTTGTCATCATCGCATGTTGCCAGGAACTGCTGTACGTGTTCTTTCGCGTCGCGACCACTCTTCTCGAAGTGTAGACGGGCGGTCCGGGCGTAGCCATTCAGCCTGTTTATGTAGTCGCACAGATGTTCATTACGTTCCCGCTTGGCAGAGTAGTAACGTGACAGTGCCGCCTGAGTGAACTGCGAGCAGTAGTAGCGGATGAACGCCTCGCTCAGCTGCTTCCACTTGCGCTTCGTCTTCTTCGGAAGTTGATGGAACCAATGAGTGGCTCCGTCCCGGAGACTTAGCTCAAATGAAATGCACCATTTATCGGCATCTGTGTGGGTTCCAGTCATTTCATAGACGAACCCACGGAGCCACTGCATACAGTTCTCGCTCTTGTTGCGAGAGCCTGAGAACGGCGTGATCCGATCCAGCGGTCGGTGCGAAGCCATTTCAATCCTCGGTGTCGTGTTCACGTCGTTCAGCGTCGCCAGCTCTTTTATATATGACGCATCAACTCGACTTGAGGATCTTCCTCGTCGAATGTACGCACCAAAATGTCATCGTCACTTGACGAACCATCGCTGTCAACTCGACGACATCCGGCACCACCTTTTGGAGCTCCCGCACCGCCCCGGTGACCGAATGAACCCTCGTTACCAGCGTAAACACGTTGCATACGGCTCTCCGAACGTGGCGTAACCATATGCGAGTCTTAAAAGTACGGTGAAGCTTCGGTAGTGCCAAAGGCACAACGATCAACTCCACGCTTGGTCGGAGGAGTATGGTCGAGTCGCTGGAATGTCTGCGGCAGCGGAATCCTGGACGGATTTCCATCATGAATAGTGGGTCGACTCACAGGTTGCTTTTCAGTGTTGATGCCAACAGCGCCAAACGCCTTCCGAAGCTTCTTCTTCCATTTCTGGAGAGCAGCCCCGGCTTCATGTGGACTCCAATCTTGGAGCGACATCGTCGATGGGTACGCCTCGTTCTCGAACCCCAGCGACAATAGTAGCGAAACTGAATCTTCGGCGACTTGGCTAGTCGACACGAGTTGACTGGGTATTAAAGTTCCTGCGCAAGCGCGGGCCAGTCGGCCTTTTTCTTGGGGATGGGCTTGAACAGCCGCATCCACTCATCATTCTGCATCAGCGCTTGTACGCGGTCGAAAACGCGCTTGGCGGCTGGTGTATCACCGTTGATAGGTGGGCGAGGTGCTTTCAGCAGTGCTGAATGCTTTGCGCTCGCCATCCAGGGTTCAGACCCCTTGGTCCCATCGTCATATTCTTCATGACCGGTTCTGGTCCCGCAACGTCATCTAGCTCGTCGGCGAGGTTCCTCGAAAGGGACCTGGTCGCCCCGCTCAGCCCCGATGATAGCGTGACCGTCTCGGGTGTCGCTGTGCCTGGCTTTGGAGCCGGCGTCTTGTCTTCGTAATCGTCATAATCGTGGGCGTCCGGAGATGGTCCGCTGAATGCGAATCCGGCCAGTCCATTATTA